TTGACAAATTCAAAATTTTATTTTAGATTTTGAGGCCTTCTTAGAATTCATCTTTCAGCTTAATTTTGCTGAGCAAGATTTAAAATTTCAAATGGTGAATAATACTAAATAATAACTGGTACACGCAAAATATCTCAAAATTTACACCGTATTCTATCGGTTCAGGGTTTTATAGGTAAAAAAAAACACACTTGGACCAATATAGTAAACAAATCTTGTCAATATTAACCAAGTGTAAACAAAACAATAACCATCCAGATTACAGAAAAAGATTGATGCCCTATATAAATGATCAGAACAGTAAGCATCTTTATATAACTGCTACAATAATTTGAGTTAATAGAGATTAGGTAGCAGATTTTCATAGCATACGGTTTATAATGAACATTTTCACCATCTTAACTCTTAAATGCAGTTAGTTTATAAACATTGAGTTTTGTTATAAAACTTAAAAGTAGTATCCAAGAGCTTTCGTACAAAACGTTTATATCAAGCTATTTAATTATGTTTTATTTTGGAGAAAGTCAAAAAACATGACTTGTAATTAGATGCTGTTTATGCTATCTTTAAACATGTGGTCAAAATTGCAATGTGTTATGCATAATACAGCTAGAATTGTATTATGCAATGTTTGAACTTAAACAGAACCTAATTTGGTTAGACCATATATGACTGAAATAGCTATAGTAACGAAGTTTAAAGCAGATTCACCATTGTTCAAAAAAGATAAATTAAAATCAACTATTAAAAGAAAACCTAAATGATAAAATAAAGTAAAAGAACTTTTTTTTAAAAATGCTTTTTGCCGCATTTGGTAAAAAAATAATTATGTAACTAGTAGAAAAAATATTTTTTTAAATCTTTTTGAATCTCTGGATCTAATAAAGCATAACATATTGTATTCTTTAATTTGTCAAGAAGAATCAAAGACTCCTGAATTTTTTTATTATCATCCTGATTTACACCCATCAAGGCTTTAAGAAACCACTCTTAAGTTTGGAATCACTATAAAAAAAGAATAGAGCAAGAAAACGGTTTTCAGAAAACCTAAAAAATTATAAGTTGTATGAGTCAAGAAGACATGAATATGGGAGTGAGTTCAAAGAGTTAAATGTGGGGAAAAACTAGATGAATAAAATTTTATAAAGCATTCAGGGACAAATACATTAAAAAAAAACTTTGAAGAATGAGGAGTCAACTGAGAATAAGCCCTAATTTGTCACAGAAGTGAGATCCAATTCAAGATCGGCTAAGTGTTCTAACCGAACATATCAAGGATAACTTTAATAGAGCGTATAGGATGAAATGATTGGATAATCTCAAAAACCTTCCCGATATACCACATGAAACAAGCTTATGGAAGATATGCTCTTTATGAAAGACCACCATGCTAAACTTTGTTAAAATCTTTGATATGTCAAGAATAATAGCATTATTGCACAATAAAATCTTTCAGCCCCACATTTGTTAGCAAATAAGCCGTAGAGCGTGAGGATCAAAAACAGTATTGATTGTCTGACAGTAAGTTCTAAGACTCAAGATGGGATGTGACAAAATTGTTTATCAAAGACTTAAACCTCTTTCTAAAATGAAAGAAGACTGATCGGACAATTATTGAAGGGGTCAAAATGTTCGCCAATTTTTTTCAAAACTAGAAAAGATGCCATTTTTTAGCAGGCAGGCAAACAAGACTCAGTCAAGCATTTATTAAATAGTTTAAGGTGAATTAAAGAAAGTTTTGGAAAACAATTTTCTAAGACTATGACAGGGATGTTGTCTGAGTTACAAGACGAAGAATTTAGTTGGAAGCTGGAGTAACTTAAATGTGTAACAATGAGTTACCTGTTAATTGTAAATGAAGGAAAAAAATAGCTCTAAGATTCAAGAAACAAATTTGAAGAAAATTTCTTTGCAAGTTGTTATGCCTTATCCTTGGGAGAGGTATAAACATCAGTCCCATAAAAGTGAGATGAAAGGTTAGACCGACCCTTGTTAATGACGTTCTAGATGATTTTCCTAAATTCTCTAAATCCTATTTTCTAAGATAAAATGAAATTTAGTGAACTAAAAATATCGAAGCTTAGCATCTCACAGCATCATTTTACATAATTTTCCTGCTATAACCAATAGCTGTTTATTTTTAAAAGAGTTGTTCTTTTGAAAAAGATAAAAAAAAATAAGTACAACTAGATATTGCAGCTGAGCAAGAGGATGAAAATCATGGAGTGGAATGAGTCTTAACTTGGAACCGACAAGAAATAATAAAATTTTAAGCTTAAAAATTAAAAGCTCTGAATGAACTAAGGAGGTTATGTAAGAAACACATTTTCCTGCATTTTCAAAGTGGAAAGACGTTAACCCAAGGACCGTCACGAAAAAAATCACGAAAAGAATCCCAGTCAGCTTTAAGGTTAAACTAAGTAGTGTGATGATAAGGTTAGTTCGAAAAGCAAGTACAAAATGAAAGATTTAAAGAGATCATTGGATGTTCAGAACCACCTAAAATAGAAAAAGGAGAAAGTAAACATAAGCTAGGATCAAAGACCAGACATATATCATAGAGTGAAGGTAAATAATTAAGATTGTCGGAAAAAAAGTCACAAAGTTACTAACTGAGTGAGTGACTGAGACATTCAAAAGGTATAAGCTTTACTGCAACCAGGATCAGTGGCCTTAGAGCCAGAGAATTCAGTTTGATGAACCTTAAAGTCACCAAAAACAAAAATATTGACGGGGAGGTAAAGAGAGAACAAAAGAATCTAAAATATTGCAATCTTGAGAAGAAGAAGAACAATAAAGAAAAAAGAGAAAAGAGATAGAGTGAAGAGGTGCAATGTGAAACCACATATTTGAATGGTCACAGATTTAAACCTGATTTCAAGACATATAGGTTAATCGATGCGTATGTATACCCCAAGCCAAGCATGTGACTATTGGAGTATTTGCAAATCAAAGGATAGTACCCATTAACACTAAGATTCAAAGAAGGAATAATAATATAAAATTGGTCTTACTAAGAGCAAGCAAGTTTGGTGTTTTTTGCTAAAGGTAAGATTTAACTAATAGAAGGTTGAACACGAATGTATATCAAAGTTATATTAAAACAGTTAGGTTGTCGAGATGGTTTTTTATGTCTAATACTTCGGGTTACTTTGGCATGATTTAAGTTTAAAGAGAACTTAACTCATTCATAGATAAAGCACGACCTTCTAATCACCGAGCAATACAATTGTCTCAGTTCTGTCAACTAAACCTAAGTTGTAACATATGGCTCCATATGTAGTCTTGACAATGGGCATAAAAGCATTAACTGGGGCACTACCTATGCGCAACATGGCACCGCTAATACTCCGCTGTTTTGCCACTGATGATTGAACTAGCCTCCCTGAGCGCTACCACAGAGTTTGAAAAGCCTTGTTATCAGACAGCCTCAGAAGCATTAAAATAAGTTTTTAAGCTGTACCCTCATTAGGAGATAACAGGAAGAGTTGCATAACCACTCTAAGGGAGGAAAAGGCAAAAACCTATGAGAAGAGTCAAGAAGATCCATCATTCATTATCCTAGACAGGACACAATGTAATACAGGTTTACATCTACGCCAGTATAATAAATGAAGAAAGGATTCAAGACTGGTTAGCAGAAATTTAGATAGCAAGTCACTGGTGAATCAACACCGCGCCAGAAGTACAGAAAGATCACAAGCATTCATATAAAATAGATTACAGTTGAGCTAAATCAGTAACTGAGGTATATAAAAAAGATACATTCAAAAAAAGTAAAAAATAAATGTATATTTATATTACTATAGACATTACTAATTTTAAAAAGTGCTAATGACAGAAAGCAGACTCCTTTTAGCTTTGCATGTGACCAGTAGCAGGGTGATTATAAAGACCATACACCTGATTTGACTTATCTAGGTATTTAAAGAGTTTTTGAATAAGTCCTTTACTACAGATTGTGTCTTAAAGGTATGATATTCAGTACCAAGTACCTCTACGTTATGTATAATGCTGTGTTAAATAGAGTGGAACAACCAAAAAACGAAATAAAAAACGATATAGAAATCATGATTCCAAATGACTTGAAATAGTTTAGTTAAATTAATTTTGTATGAGGAAATATGAATAAAACGTTAGATATAATAATACACTTAACCACAGTCAAATATATTTATTATCAATTCTATGAAATAATATTGAAACAAATCTTCATGATGTATTTATAAATTATTTTATTGAGAATAGTGAATTAAAAAGCAGCTTAAAACAGCTAATTCTATGACGTAGAGAGCAGATTTGAATAATCATATGGAGTAATCCTCAATAAAAAAAAATCGTATATAATAAATAAAAAGTCATGCAAATACAACCAAAAACGTTCCATAAACCACTTATGTTCCATAACCACTTATGTCTGACTTTAATAAAAAGCAAGATCAAAAAAATGTAAATTATTACAGCAATTTGTAAAGTGATTTTGATGCTGTGTTTAATTCGTCCAATTTTTAAACACATAGATATAAGTATGGATAAAAGCTACAAGTTTGGTCTCCCTATCTGAAATTGGATGTTAATAAAATTTATCCCTTTACAAAATCTTGTAAAAAACCTTTCTAATTTCATTTACACCTCTTTAGTAGGACCATCTGGACAATGCAGAGCAATGCTAACAAAATCTTTTTACGGAAAATGTTATAAAACAATATTAATACATTTTTAAATAACTACTCTGAAAAAATGTCAACAACAAAAAAAGTTAGCTAATTTATCTCGAGTAATACGCACCCGATAAATTAATAGCTATTATTATAGGAATATATTATATGAGGTTTTAATGTAAGTTAATAAAAATACTAATCTCATTTTTTTTAAATCAAGTTTTTGGTGATTATAATCCCTTTGATTTTTTGAAATCAAAGTTATATATATTATATTTTTGTACACAGTAACTAAAAAATAAATAAAAAGATTTGAGAAAAATAAATAAATTTTTTTACCTGAACATCCTCTTCGTATAATTAAGTTTCTTATTATGCCCGGCTGTGCTATAAACCTCGGATCAGAAATATACAATTTTACATTAGTAAACTCTTGTGGAGCAACATTTTTGACTCTTGAAAGAATCAGCTCATCAACTTCTATACTTAAAATATAGTAACCATGATGCTGTACCTGGTATATTTTATACTTTTTGCATCCTAACTCAAATGGCTTAGTTGTTAATTGGTGTATTGTATGATTTATCGTTGCTGAAAAATACATTTTACCACTTGGAGTAAACCACATGCATAAAACACAAGAAACATTACCACCAGTAGTGAAAAAAAATACGTTGGATAACGAAGACCAATTATTTCCGGAGGTAAATGAAGTTAAACAGGTTTCAAATGTTATTTCATACTCTTTAGGAAAAATTTTAATCGTATGAAAAAGGCTGTTATTGACAATATAATAATCTTCTTTCAAAGAAAACAAATCTAAAAATAATTTAAATAAAAATATGATTATGACTTTACCCAGCCCTCGTTTGAAATCCTAAGTTAGACAATACATTTTAATGTAAGTTTTTTAAACTTTATAAGGATTTGTAAAAATATGCAAATTATTAATTTGCATATTTTTACAAATCCCAAACTTAGATATAAAGTTATGTTTTGCTCAGGTTTTTTTTAATCCTTATAAAAACCTAAAAAAATGTTCCGATCATACCAATCTTAAGAATTAATTAAAATTAATATTCAACGCATTCAATGATAAACTAAATGAATGTAAGTTTTTACTTAAAAAGATAAAAATTTAGCAGTTAGTTTGTGTTACTGTTATTTTAGTAATTCTAACAAACTTATAAAATGAAGTTATACCTAAACGCGGAAGTAATGAAAAAAATTAAAGTAAGAAAAATAAGTTTTTTCACTTGTTTACACGGAAAACTTATACTTAAAATAAACTATAAATATATAATATTATAAAAATATAGATAGCATCACGGTTAAAGAACTGGTTAAAAAGTAAAAAGAGTGTAAGGGTACGATAAAATCTTGTTTTAAAATAAAAAAAGTCCTTCTTATGGGTTTTGAAATTTTTTTTTATAAACTTAATTTTTGTTAATTATTTTTTGAACTTTATCTATATGTATTTTTGGCAAACTTAATAGTTTCCTTCAAGCATGTTTGACACAAAATCTTTAGCAGCCATTGCAACCGAGGTATTGGCAAGAGAGAGTCGCAGCTTTGCTTTATAAGAAAACGTGATAGAACATGTAACTTATATCATTCGTTTGTAACTTCATTTTATGTAATGTTAAAGCATACATAAACATGTATCAAGTTTTACAGTTTCACTTTTACTTGAAAACTGCATTGTGTCAACCTCTTTTTAAATTTTATCTTCAGCATTTATTTCCGTTAAAAACAATTTTTATGTAGTTTTAAATATTTGATCACCAACGTGCCAGCACAGCCGAGTGGTGAGCGCGCTGAGCTACTGAAAAAGCTGTAGTTAGATTCCAACCACCGGCAACCTTTTGTTTTAATTTTTTCAGAATACAAAGGTTTTATATAGGTTACATACAAACATATCTAAAGATATTATATACTTTAAAAAAAAAAAGATTTTTAAAAAAGCTATAAATTCTAAAAACAATAAAAAAACGGGGGGAAATTTGTTGCGTTTGTGTCGTTATTGAGATACTTATGTTATTTTAGTTTTACATTTAAAGTTTATTTTCAACTAAGTTGAGTATACAACATCTTTATATATAAAGAATACAAAATCTATAGAAATATAATGTTTTTATGATTTGCATTTTAAATATAATTAAAAAAAAAGCAAGCTGATGATTTAAACTTGCCACGCGGCGACCTAAACTTTTTTTTAAAACAATTGGAGGTTTCAAAAAGAATCTTTTTAATAAGAACATAATAGAAATTTTAATTTTATATTTAAATTAAACCAATTTATATATTATAAAATCTATGAAAATATTGAGTTTAAAATCAATCTTGCTGTTATCATATGTGATGCACCAGCTAAAGCATTTGTAAAGTGTATTAAGGGACACAATGGTTAAAACTAATGTGAGCGTTGTGAAAGAAGAGTGGTGTGGCAAGATAATACTCCCACATATATCACTAATTTTAGGCGCTGATTTTTTGTCATCAAAAGCATTTTAAACATCTCAGTGGTGTGTTATATTGATTTAAATTTTGACATGGTGAAAAAGTTTCCTTTAGACTTTATGCATCTAGTATGCTTAGGGGATTGTAAAGACTCATTAACTTATGGTTAAATTGCCCAAATGTTGCAAGTTGTCTCAGATTAAAGCCAATACTTTATCTGGCAGATACGTCATTATATTCCAAGAAATTTTTCTAGAAAACCAAGGTCTTTATTAGATATTAAAAAATGGAAAACATCTGAAGTTAGACTATTTCTAGTCTACACTGGGCCAGTTGTTTAAAGGGAATGTTTTAGCAAAAAATCTGTTCAAACATTTTAGATTTTTCAGTTGCAGTTCTAATTTCAGATTGTTTTATTTTATTGAAAAAATATGTTACTTTTGCTACTTATTTTGTGCAGTTTTATTCGTGAATTTTATTGTAAAGATCAACTAGTTTACAATTTCCTTTTATTAGCACATTTAGGAAATAATACAGTTAAATTTTAAGTACTTGATAGATGTCTCTTGTTCAAACACGAAGCTATTTCAGGTCAATTAAAAAAGCTTGTTCAAAGACCAAAGGGTTGCTCATAATCTATATATATATACATACATATATATATATATATATATATATATATATATATATATATATATATATATATATATATATATATATATATATATATATATATATATAAATATAAATATATATATATATATATATATATATATATATATATATATATATATATATATATATATATATATATATATATATATATATATATATATATATATATATATATATATATATATATATATATATATATATATATATATATATATATATATATATATATATATGGGAAGCTTTGTCTAGGGGGCTCATTTGCAAACTTAGGGGCACTTTTACAAATTTAAGGTTTTTTTTTATTTAGTATTTTTATTTAGATTTTTTTTATTTATTGGAAAAGTTTTTGACAGGTTGTTGTTTTTGAATGGGATGGGGGGCTTGTATCTAGTAGCCAGGGCACTGTATAAAAGGTATATACAATATATATCAAATTATATACAATATAATTATAAAATTATATTTGTTTAATAATTTTATAATTTATATATCAGTAACTAAAGGAATGTTATCAATTTATTATATGAATCATAAGCGTGTGCTTATCTATTACAAGTGCATTTTAAAACGTTAAAACAAATGTCGATTATAAAATTAAATGCTGTGTTTGTCTACCTTCGATGGTGAAAATTGCATATTTTATCTGAAGAGTATTGGAAGAAATCGTTAGAGCTTTATAACATTAACAATAATGTATGTGTTACCTATAACATTTAAAACTAACAGTTCAATTTAATTTTTTTACAGCTAATATTGAAACGAGATATCGTGTACAGAGGTTTTCAAAGAAATTGTTTTAACAACAATGGAAAAGCTTCCGATTCCTGAGATAAGCGTGAAAGCATTAGAGACATCATTAAAGAATCGTTTAAAAGTTTGCTTAATTTTTTTGAAATAAACTAATCAAGTTATACATAAATTTGCTTTTTCTGTATATTTTAAACATTTAAACGTAGTTTTGCAAGATGTGCAATGGGTGAACCTTGTGGGACTCTTACGGGATACCCGGTGGGCATACTCACATGGGCCCCAGAAGAAAACCGAGGCGAAGATCCGGCGGGTTCCCGATGGGTTTTCCATATGGGTTCCATTTACAAACCCAAATGGTTCCCTTACCGTTTTAAAGTACGGAGTTTGACTGGGACCCATACGGGATACCCGGTGGGCTCACCCATATGGGCCCCATATGGAAACCGCGGTCATGATCTGGCGGGATACCGTTGGTCTTTCCATACGGGTCCCAGTTGACAACCCGTATGGGCACCGTACGGTACCCGTATGTCAATGTTGGCTGGGTAACCGCCTTTTACTAAATGTAGATAAAATTAAACTCATCCTGATCATCTCTACAAACTCCTCATCCTGTTCATCTCTACAACTCATCTCTACAAACCAAATAAAGTTGATAATATTCTACATAAAATCTTTTATTCAATAAAACATATGTAAAAAGGAATCTACTGTTAACATTTTAGGCGTAATTCTTGATGAAAATTTGTCATAGAAGCTTCACATGCAATCCATTAAAAGTAAATTTTCTTGTAATATTTCCGTGCTTTATAAAACAAAACTATTTTTAAACACAAAAGCTCTAATGAATTTTTTTTTTCATTTATTCACAGCAATCTTTTTTACTGCAACATTCCATGGGGAGGTACAAATTACGGAAAACTCAAAAGACTTTATAGTAAACAAAAGCATACTTGTAGAATTGTATTTGGGGCAAACAGAACTGCTTATTGCGAACCACTATCAAGGTCTTAAACATTTATAAACTAAACATTTCCCAAATTTTGCTTTTCATGTTTAAAATGAAACATGGAATATCTCCATTTATATTTTAATCTTATTTTAGCTAAATATTTCATAAGTATCCAACAAAGTTTTCAGAGAATAACTTTATTGTTCCGAGATTAAATTTAAAAATAAGTTCTTATCGAATTCAATATCGAAGATCTTTTTTATGGGAAAAATTTATTAAAAACATTAATAAGTAATACTACTCTTTAGGAAAACTTAAAACATTTTCTAAAATAATCTTCAACTTCAATTAGATTTTAGTACAATAGACTTTAAATATTTTTTTTTAAAGGTAATTTTAAAACAGAAAAAACGCTTCCATTAGCACTAAATATATATTGTTAAATATGTATTTAATTTTAATATAAAAGTCATTTTATTATTTGACAAAAGTTATGTACTTTTTAACGTTTTTTTGTATATTTTATTTTTTGTTTATAAACACGGACAATATGTAAACGGGGCTCGGTGATAAGACAGTAAAAGTCTTCTACTTGCTCCGGCCAATTTTTTAAATGTAATATGTCTTTATTGTAAATATATGAAACGGCAAAAAAAAGAAAAAAAAAAGGAGGGATTAAGTTTAGAAAAGGTCGGTTTGGAATATATTCCCGACACCCGTATTTTACTGGTCATGAGTGCTAGTTATTTGTAATGCTAATATTTTTTTTTTATTGAGTGTTTTTAATGATTGAATTACTTGATTTAATCATAAGATTTGAAACAGTAGCTTGATTATAATAAGATCTTAATGAAGTTACAGCCGTGGCGCAGTGGTAGCGCACTTGCCTCGGAAACACAGGATCCGTGGTTCAAACCCCACCTCTGGGCAAGTTTTGCGACATCGGTTAGGAATGAGACGTAAGCTTCAAATTAAATGCTTA